TGGGTGGTGGGGGGGGGGGTGGGAGGTTTTTCTTAACCACAGCCCACTAGAGCTGCAAAACCATACACCGTTTTTCTAACACTAGGCTGGGTATTACTGAAGAAACTGGTAGTGGGTGAGAGGTACAGATGGTTAGGACTGATGCTCTGGGTTGTGTGAGTACAAAAACATGAACAGCTGCTCCAAGTGACTGTTCCTTTTATCAGGCAGGACCAGCTGTAAGCCAACAATCCTTCAGAAAAACCATGAAATTGCTCCACATCTGTCAAGGATGTAATTTCCTCAGTGCAGAGAACAGAACAGCAGTCCAAGATTAAGGAAGACAGCTCTTTAAATGACTACAGGGAAGGAAACACTAAGGGGAATGAAGGAGCTTCTTTCTCTATTCTGTTCTGATTTCAGTAAATTCTGTGTTCGGTTTTTTTTTGTAATCCTACTGTCAAAGGGAGGGAGGGGAAAAAAAAAATCTACAGACATGCTCTCACTCACTAGTTTAACTGATAAGGTAGTATATGAGAAGATGCTGATTCCAACTTTGGCCTACAGTCAGCATGTAAATTCAAGCAAGTCACTTCAGTTGTCTTTATCAACAGATAGCTTTCTGAAATACAGGAACTATTATGGTAACCTTGTGTATAATAATAAGGCCCTCAAGTGAAAAATATCTTACAGTAACATACGATCATCTAGTTCCTTTCATCAGAAAAGTGATCTTAACTTCAGAAATGCATTTTGGTTTCATTTAAATTTGAGATTGGGATCAAAGACAAGTAAGCAAAGGTACATACTGGGTTTACAGCCAATAATAGTCCTCCTAGTGTAGCAACATAAAGATGATGTGGAAAAGAACTTAGACAAGGAGATGAGAACACAGCTCCACCTTCACAATGTAACTTCCATATACATGCCCTTTTCTGTAAATACAAGAAAAAAGGTAATTTTTTTTCAATTAGAGTTAAAGCTCCTCATGTCTACAAAGACCTTCGAATGTCAAAGCTTACCAAACATTGCATTTACTTTGCAAATACTAGTTAAGAAGATATAATCTACATGCTATTATAGGAACACATATGCCGTTGGCTACTTTCTCTTCCAGTAAATAAATTCAGCTAATGAAGAGGCAGTATCTGCCCCTCTTATTTTCCATCTCCCTTCATCTGCTCTTTTAGACTGTAGGATTCTCTCTCCACCATTAAGCCCTAACTTTAATTCTAGCTCTGCACCCAATTCTGAAACACCCACAGAGAATTTAATAACTAAGAAACTTAAGATTTGGTTTCAACCAGAACTATTAGCACAAGAACCAGAGCTGAGGACATCACTAAAACTATTTACTACCACATAATCCTAATCCCTCTTCAAGCAGTCCTAAGTATTTCAAAAGAGTAATTGTGGACTCCTGACAATACTAACAACAGTGGAGCTCCATCTGGTGTACTACAACTGGGGTCCAAGTTGGATATTTATTCTTCTGTATGTAAAACTCAGTCTGTGTTCTTACATAAATATCCAAAGCATACACATGTTGGTCATGTGATCCTACGTAGACTAGTCCACTGGAAGGGTCTACAACTGCAGAGCTCTTCACAGTATCTTCTGTAACAAAAGTCCAGTGTATTTCTCCATCATTGCTTTGAAGCACATACACTAAACCATCATAACAACCTGTGTGAAATAAAACACAACAGGGGAAAAAAAGGGATAATGAATACTTGTATTTACGGTGTGATTTATGCTGCTAGCTGCATCACTGCTGGAAAAAGTAAGATGACTCACGAGGTACAGTTTCAAAATATTTTCCAAAGCTCCTCCTTTTAGCGCAAAGTCTTTGCTGATAGCTCATACATTCAAAGCTGATTGTTCTGTGTGTTCTTTCCAGGTTACATTTAGAATATACTTATTTCATTGCCTTTCTATCAAATTTTAATTACCTCCTTCTCTAATTTTCCTTTCTGAAAACAAAGATGCTGAAAGAATAAGGTCTGTTGTTTTCTAATGAAAACTGAACTGTAGCTCTAGAAACTCCTTCAGTTTTAATGAAGCATTACATTTTTATTATCAGAGTAAATAGAAATCAAAATGGTAGCAAAAAGATGGTAACATTAGCTTTGCACAACAAACCTCACCAGCTGCACATCTGTGCTAACCAGTGATACATACGTAATAGCTAAAAAGATAACACTAAGATGAATAATGGCAACTCCGTTGACAACAGATATGACAAAACCAAAAAACTATCCAAACATGTTATTTACATTTCCAAACAGAAGAGTCAAAGGAGATAGTTAAACTCTGAAAAATAATCTGAGGCATCATGTACTAATTTCTACCTCTATCAATTTTTAAAGACATTTTAAGACTGTATCACCTTTCCATACTTTTTTAAAAAAAGTTTAATGGTCACACCTTAATCAACCGCTAAAAAGAAACCATACCCATTGACTACTCCTTAATAAGGCCTCATTAATAAATTGGCATATAATAAACCACAAGTGTATATGTTAGATAAGCTCCATCACTGGCTATCATGAAACCTATATTACTTCCTCCTTCTGTTTCTGTTTTATAATAAATTAGTTCTGAAGCAGATATGGAAGTTTATGGATAAGTGTAGATGGAGGGCATTCAGAGGTAAGAAATAAGATTCTCTGTCATTCATCTTGTATTTAGCAGAAAAAATAATTGCAAATTAAGGCTAAGACAAAAGACGTACCAACAATAATGAAATTTCCACACTTAGATACGCAGGCAGAAGATTCAATACGACCTCCAAGGTTCTTCTCCCATTTTATTTCTCCCAAATCTAGATCAATTGCTTGCATTGCATGAGAGTGAGAGCCGACATATACAGATGCAGATGCTTCTTCTTTAGATGGTATTATAACCAGTGGTGATGCATCAACACATTTTCTTGTATTTGACTTCCATCTTATGCATAATGCCAACTCTGCCATTGTTACGTGACTACATTCTGCATGGACTTGCTGGACAGAGCAACAGTCTGTTTTATTTGCCTTGTTCGTAACTGTTAAAGTTCTGTTCTCCATTTCACATCCTTGCGCATGGCTTTTTGTTACACTTGGAGTGAGTAAATGCAGAAAGGACGGTTGCTGCAGCATTTCCACTCCTACCTGTACTGTATTACTGGGCTGCATAAAAGACTTGGTGAAATTCACAGAAAAAAGATGATTTCCTCTGCTTAGTGCAATAAATGAAGTTAACACTGAAGCAACCTCAAGATCTCTTTCAGATTTCAGTTTAATATATTTTCCATGAAACTCCTCTCCACTGTTCCCACTTAATTTTCTTTTCACAATATTGTCATAATTCATTAATTGGTCTTCATCTGGAAACAGAATTTTACGAATATGTCTATAAACCTCTTCAATCGAGCAGCTGAGAATAACTTCAAGAAGTCCAGGCACAGCTTTGCCTACTAGCATCTCAATTTCATCATAAAATTGTAGAGCCTTTAAGGAGTCTCCACCACTGTACAGAAATACCGCATCTTTAGAAATTCTGGTGGAATCACCGAGGAGACCCAGAACAGACTAGAGAAAAGAAGAAAGAAAGAGATTAACAGTCCATGGGTGTTACACTATGTCACACACACAAAGATTCAAGTTGGGTAAAATCCACCTGAATACCCAGAAGTCCCACTAAAAATCAACAACTGAGGAAACTCACTAGTCTGCAAAAAATCACACGAAACATGAAATGCCAATAGCAGTAGTAATGGAACAAGAGTTGGGGAGGAATGGGGAAACAGGGAGATACTAGTTCTGTACTACAAAATGTTTTGCTCAATTCCAATTCTGGAGTCTAAGGAATTAAAGCAAATTGTGCTGCATTTTTGTTGGCCATTTTCAATCTCAATACCATGTATCAATGACAACTTTGCAGATAAAACACTGATGCCTTTTGATAAAATTGGTTTAGGTGCTTTATTTTTTATTAATAAAACTTACATCTACTGCTATCTTTTACATCTGAATTATTTACGTAACCTACTTATCTACCTACTTTTGAAGCTATAACCCCTTCAATTCATGAAGGATTTTGGATTTGGCATTGTTACTACAACAAACAGCAATTACTATGTCTCCTCTCACTGCACTCCCTGCTTGTTAAGTCTGGGCGTGAAGTCCAAATGCTCTGGTTTTGGAAACCACATTCTGCTGTCCATAATGGGTCTAGGGCACATCCCATCCCTTTGGGTTATCATTTCTACAGCCACCAACATGGCAGGTATCAGCACAGGCAAATTGTGTTACTAATTCACTACATTTACTTGTTCAAGTCCTAGTCACAGCAAATTCCACTTCCAGGTGAAACTTGGAAGTCTATCTTGGAAAAAAAAAAAAAAAGTAATACTGTTTGGCATCACATTTTGATACCTTGAAAAACAAGTCTTTAGCACAGAAATTTAGAAACAATACAAACAGACAGTCCAAGAGACAGTTACACAACTGTGCCATCTATTTAAAAAAAGACTCTTCAATTCATAATTATCTTGAGAAAGAAGAAACTCTACTATCACAGTAGCTATTTTGTACAAAGTTTCCATGTCCCAGTTCCTTGTTTCCCCTAGGGATACCTTCTTTGGCATGTGAAGCAGTATTCAAAAAGCTACTGACAGGTTACGTCCTTCCTATGCTAATTGCTTATACCTCATAGTCTGCAGCTTTATCTGATAGAGAAATATAAATGACTCCCTCTCAGCCGCTGCAGAGTGACTGTATTTAAGTATTAACTGAACAGAAAGAGCTGTACTACTTAAATCTATAGGCAGCTAGAATGTTCTGGTTGCATTAGTCATACTTCTTAAAACTGTTTAATTCCTGACACACGTATAATGATCCACTTGCAAAGATAAAAAGGCAGCTCAAAATACTACCTTCCATAAATACTGCAATCTTTCCCACAATTCCTCTGCGCCACTCAGCTTACTGTCACGCCTTCTGGAGTTTAGATGGTTCTGGTAAATCTTGTTCAGTTCAGATATATCAACTTTGCCTTTGTAGAAAATAAAGTACGATTTTTTTCATTGCTCTTTTACAATTTACACTTCTAAAACTTGCTCTGCCCGAATAGTCACTCTATTCTTGTACACACTTCCTTATTCATACTCAACTGCACCTGTGTTTTGTTTTGGTTTTTTTTACCCAGTCAATCAACTACACTTAACAAAACCCAATAAGGTTTTTGAAAATTTACTCTAGCCTCCCACATAATCCCACCTTCAGGGCCTGATCTTTTCCCAGCTGGTGTCAGAGTTCTGTTGCAGACTGCAACAGGAACAACTGAGAAAAGAAACGTGCAGTGTTAATACTAAACTGATTTTACTAGACTGATTTGACTCTTGAACGAAACATTATCAAGAAAACATAATACGTGGTCATCATTTCTTACTAGGAGTTAGTTATCTAATGTACGTATTTAAAAAGTATAAATCAGGTACCGGATTTTGGTCAAAAAAAAAAAAAAAGAATAGAGACCATTAAAATAAGTGGCAAGGGTACTTAATAGTTTCGTTTACCATGTGTTGTCAAAGGCAAAGCTTTAATCAGTACAAGCTCATCAGGGACTGCATGAGCTGGTAGATGTTTCTGGAGTTCTTTAAGTGTTTCTTTCTTTTTTAAATCATCTTTGGGTACAACAAACAGGACAAGCTTTTCATGCTGATACCAGGTCACTGCACAGGCTTCTACCTGACAAAGATCTTCAGCAGCCTGTAATTAAAAAATATTAGTCTTGCTTTGAAACACAGTTCATCAAGACAGTAAAAGGAGTAAAAACTACAATGTATAAAAGTGCACATTTAAAATTCGTAGTCTCAAAATCCTACGTAACATCCTGTGAAATACCTTCTCTTGTAGCTACAGTTTGTGCTTTTTCACATAAAAACAGAGATATATATTTGCCTAAATGCCGTGAATGAGATATAATCCATGAGTCTGACATTCAGTCTTGTAGAACAATCACTATACAAGCATTGCAGTGCAACACTCAGTATTTTTCAGGTGTTTATATAGTTCTCAATTCTGCTGGAAGAAACCATACAATAAAACAGATTTCCAAGAACTCAGAACCAAAGTCCTCCCTAAATTACATGACTAGATATTTTATTTAAGACTCCTAAAAGTCATCTGAAGATGAGTAAATACCCATTTTTGATGATAATGATGTGTTTCTTATCCCTGCTCTTTTATACTGGCATACTCTATTCACTAGGTATTACATTACCTGCTGCAAACACTCAATATTAAAACGTTTGCCATGACGTTTAATCTGATTGTCTTTCCGACCCAAGAAGAACAACTTTGCATTCTGTACTTTTACAAAATCCCCTGTTTCTCTCATTGTGCCCAGGGGTACATTTATTTCATCATCAAGAAAGCAGATTCGTTCTTCACCACCTACACAAGATAAGATCATGGTCACATATATTAAATGGCTAACTTTAAATGAAGATTATAAAGAGTATGCTATCAAATTCTCCTAAACTCTAACAAGCATTATAAGAAGTACTGAAAGATTAATATTAATGTCTAAACTTCTGCAATGTACAAACTGGGCTATGCAGTTAATTCACATAAATTACTTCAATTGAGAGTGTCAAAATGCAAGCAGGAAAAAAAGTCAATATAATGAAAGCACAGTCTGCAGATAAAATTATGTTAATTTCCTGTTCATCATTCCAACAACCTAAAATACCACCAGAAGGTTCCCAGCTCAATGGGAACTTAAAATGCTATATTAATCTGCATATCAGAGTTAGACATCAACTAAAATAATCAATGTATTATTAAAACTCAATCCATTAAGAAAAGTATCTTAGAAGAGTAAGAAATATAAAATAACCTATAAATATTTGTCCCTCGCCTTCCAGAATTGCCGAACCGCTGGTATCTCTGACCTCAACTTTTGTTCCTAGGAGCGGTGATCCCAAAGGTATAGGGAAGTCCGTTCTAAAGATATTAAAGAGAGAAAAAGTAAAAATCTTTGCCTTCTGAACACAAAACAACTGTTCCAGAAATGACTTAGCATACAGTCTTTTAAAGGGTTGGTATTAGAGCAAAAATAGATGCTTGGGGCTTCTTTCTACAAATGTTTCTTCTTTAAAAACATCTTTATTTGTTCAAAATTAAAAACCTCATCAGTGTGCATGGATTTCATCATCATATACCAAAAACCACAGAATGATAAAAAATAAAGTTTGAATGGACCTTGAAATACCCTGAGAGTACCCTGCAAATTTCAGCCAGTTTTTAAGTCCCCCAGGTTGAAACTTCCATCAAGTCAATCAATTTAAACACATGTAACTGCTTTCTAATTCATTCTTTCCTTGTCCTACCTAGTTTGAGCTTTTGTTCTATTTTATTACTGATGTTGTGGCTTTCAGCAAAGACTTAAATGAAAGAAACTAATTTCAATGTAATGTATTTATTATAGACTTCTGTTGAGCTGCAGACCAACTCCTTCCTTTCCTTTCATTCTCTAATTTCTTCAAGCACTTGGAGAACCTCATTTATTGAATATAGACACTATTTCTGAGTGGGAGTAAGAGAATAATATATTTTCTTCAGTAAAGCAAAATTTAAAAAGCAAAGTAACTTTAAATAACTTTGGTAATATATGAAGTTAGGCATGCATTCCAGTTCAATTTCTATCATAAAGTCTCATATTTTAACCTAACAGTTCTTATTCAACTGTTATTTAGGGTGTTGAAACTTCTCGTTTCCTCTGATCACTCAAGGAATTCTGTATCGCAATTTGAAAAAAAGCAGTCAAATTTTGTAAAACATGCATTTCTGGCAAGTGAGAATCTTCTCCTATTCCTTCTTCTAGTCAGCTTCAAAATATAATTACTTGACAAACAGGTATAAGAAAGCATCCCAGATAGTCAATTTGTCTGCCCCATACCATGGGGAAGTCCCAACACAAAGACAAAACCAAAAAAGAGTAGAATTCAGCATCACTAAACAAACCCCCAAGATTCCTACATATACCATAGAACATCAAAAATAAAAGACAAACACCACCTTATTTGGCCATTATTCTTAAGAGACTTGAAATTAGACATTTAATTTTGCCAAACTTATCTAAAAAAACTGAGGGATGCAGATGACTAAGGCACTAACTTTGTGCTGATTTTGTTTCATTTTCTAGTATTTTCTAGAAACTGTGGCAGTTTTCATGATTTGGCTAGCAAAAATAAAAGCCCACTGTACTCCAACTGTCCTACCAGCACTAAGAAACAAAGGCGACATAAAATGGTCTGTCTTGGTTTTGTTGTATCTGGGGCCGCTTACTGCAAAGGAACCCTAATTCCCTTTGCAATGAGGCTTAGAGGGAACAGGCTCTGAGGTGAAGGCAGGGGAAACAACAGTCAGAGACTATAAAAACTTCCATCATTCTAACTGCACACCAGTTAGGACTGAAGAACAACATGTTATCTCTGGAGCACAGAAACTTTGAGTAGAAAAAACAAGTTTCACTGAAGAAAAGATAATGTTTGAACTCAGAGAAACTAGAATGAAAATGAGTTTTGCATGATAATTTAATAACACATTATGACCATCTACAATTTTCAGTCTTCAGGGGCTTAAGTACCTGGTTAATGTATTGCATCATTTGTCCAAAACATCCCATTTCATAGGACACATCTAACTCGAGTCATACGTATAATTATCATGCCAGGGAATAACTACACATTTCAGAGAGCAAATGAAACACTGAGCTAACTGGAAATACCTTTCACGACCTTGACACTCCTGCAACTCTCTTTATAGAATACAATGAACAAAAAAAAAGTCAGTAATTGAGTGAAAATGGCAGAGGGTTAAATGATGAGAAGAAAGTACTTCTGGAAGTCTAAGTAAAATTACTCTGAGACCTTGGGTGAGCCACTTTGGACAAATTTCTGTCATCCATACTAGTCAAGTAATATCAGTAGGATCATTTGCTGAACAGCATATTATCCAATATTAGAAAAAAACCCCAGTGTCTAGTCTCCACTTAATTGATTATTTGTGGAGTTTTAAAAACTGTAGGCAAAAACACAGTAAGAAACACATGTATATCTACTGTTACATTTGAAAGTAATCTTTGAGCATTTTTGCTTAAAATAAGTAAATCTCAGAAGTAACATTTTGAACTTGATAGAGCTAAGCTATGAGTGTATCTTTGTTCCGAGGGTATGATTAGGAGTTACAGAGCTCCATTTCTTTACTCTCACTGAGAGCTGTGTTAGGTTTCCTTTCTTTGAACCTGCAAGATCTCACTGGAAAAGCCTCATGATAAGCAAGAGTATGGCTAACTGAAGTTACTAACAAATTGGTTAGGAGCCATTTGCCTGCAGAAGTGCACACTGATTCAATATTGCCGCATAGCCAGAGACAGCACACCCTGGACTAGGCTAGTCCAGGTTCAGCGTGTGGAATCACAGGCTGGAATGAGAAAGAGGTCTAGATAGAGAGACGACCAAAACAGAGACCATCACGACACACTGCATGAAACTTAACACGTCTACAAGTACACAGGATTTCAGACTGCAGTTCTGTGGTTCAAGAATCACTCATCAAAAACTTTTACTTGAGGGTGCTGTATTAAGAGTATGAGAGGATAGATTAGTCTATTTCTACATAAAAACCAAATGTAACTTCTACCAGCATAAACACTCTTCAGGACTCAGTAGCCCTGGAAACAGGAGTCTGAGGTTCTATTTCTAGTGATTTTCATTATTCACATGCCAAGCCATGAAAACAGTGACGTTTCCTACCTAAAATCAGGACTAAAAACCTCTTCAGGAATCTTGTAGCACGTGGCCCAACTTGACACTTCGGTAATACCATACAGATTAAAAATACTTGTTTTGTTCTCCTTGTGCTTCCAACTTTTCAAGAGATTCAGTACAGGAAATGCTTCACCGCCAAGGGCTAAGACACGGAGTGAAGTATTTGCAGACAACACTGTTGATTTAATAATGTGAGCTCCAAACCTTCTGAGAAGTGTTGGTGTTGCCTGAATGATACATATTAAAGACAGGGAAAAAAAAAAAAAGATAAAGATCTGTTATATTTTTTCAGTATATGTGTAAACCTCTTCCTGCTTTATCATATCCACTGCTTAGCTATATTGTGGATGTACTTAACAATCATCTATGTATAGAAGATGCCATCAGCCATCAGATACCAATATAGATTGTGCTGGTTTTTGTAAGATTTTGTTTATTGTGTGAAGCCCTTAATGAGCACTATCAAGACCAATCTATGTTCTTCTGCAGAGTTTTTACTTTACTTCCATGTGTTATGGGTTCCATGTTGCGTCTCAGCTATTAGTTCTTCTGTTAATTAGTTTGAAATAAAAAACAGCAAACACAATATTCTCTTGATGTTACTGTCAGGGCTTTTTTTGCCTTCATTCAGCATGTTACAGCTAAAATATAAACTATACATCTGATTAACCTTCATACAGAAAATTTAAAGACCTTTCCATAACACTAAAAATTTATAGGATGTCAGACTTTGGGTTGTTCTTTATTCGTGTAAATATACCAATTTACAAAGATTAGTTTTTCTGAAAGCTTTCACCTTACTCTCTAAAATGAGCAGAGGAAAAAAAAAAGGGAAAGCGGGGTGACCCCAAACAAAACAGCTTCCTTAAATACTGCTACTTCTAGAAAGCTATTGCTGATGTAGAGCCCTTTCACTGAGAGGAAAAATAGCAAATCATTTTAACCGACACTCATACTTCACTCTTATTCTTAACTATTTTTTCTAGAAAGAGGACTGGAAAATCAATTTAATATTTCTTACCAGGTTATTTTCTTCCAGTAACAGATGAAGACCATCACTTTACAATTGATCATTTTAACTTCAGTGAATTATAGTGAAGAAAAAAGGGGGTAAAAAATTACCCTTTCCCTCCCTCATAACTGCTTTTCAGATTTCTCAAGTCTGCTTGAGCAAGTCAAGAGGGGAAGGTAATGTTTTGCTATAATTTCAGAAACATCATAAAACTAGTCATCATCAGTTAAGCTATACGGAGAACATTTTTGTCATTAACTTAGCTGAAAATGATTTAAAAAAATCAAAAAATCAAACTTTTCTTAGGAAGACATTTCAAACATCTTCATTCCACCAAATTCGGCCTTTCTCTGTTAATGCTTAACACACATTTAAAAAAAAATCTTAAAAAGTCCTAAAAATACGTAAAAAAATCTTGCTAACAGAGATTAGTATCTAGGATTTTTTTCTAATAGCAAGTGAGGTAAACTGATGAAGAAACTTGTATGTACCAGGAAAATCTACAGCACTGAAGTTTATAGCAATCATCATAAATGAAAATAAAAGCAGGGAATAAAGTTACAAAATTCAGATTTTGTGGATTTTAGTGGATTTTTTTCTGCTGTGGAATCCTCAGCTAGCTACTTGCTAATCTTAAATTTGCACCCTACAATCTCAACTACTACCATTCCTCCAAAAGAAAAGAAACCTTGGGATTTCTAGCAGTGCAAATACTTCAGAATTACTACATGAATGACAAAGCAAGGCTTAGGGGTTGATTTATCACAATTAATAGACTAACCAGACGATACTCATTTGTTCAAAGTTGGTTACAAGCGAGATCCATTTCTAGTGACTCTTCCCCCGACACCCTGGTTTAAGTTTCAATACTCAATTAATAGTTTTACAAAATACCTCATTACATTACAAGGCAAGGGCTAGGCTTATTCAGCCATGCTGGATGCTCATAACTTCAAGTAAATTTTCCAAAAATGAACTTTAAAACTATTAAAATTGAGATCATATAGGAGATGATCTATTCCAAGACATAAGGGGCACATGAAGTCTCATATAAAGAGGTGGCCTGAAAACAGTAAGTGCTGCTGTGGAATCAATTCTTCTCTTGCTCCCATTATTGTAAAAACAACACCCTATAAATGGCACTGGTTTAGTTGTTGTATCTTTAGCATAGAGACTACCATTAAAACTTAAAAGTCGTTTATGAGGAAAGAGTCTAAAATTAAGCCCATTAAAAAATGCTAAAAATGTCTACAACAGGTTACTCCATTACCAGATTCTTCAGAACTGCTTAATTAACAGAATAATTTAATTAATCCTTAAGAATTAATGGTTTCTTAAGATGAAGGCTTTGATTAAATGATCATTTTCTAAACTGCTAACATGCTACAGCAAAAAGGATCGCATGAGCTACCCTTTCAAGGAAGAACACTCCTGCTCTGTTATCATTAGGCGTGATGAAAAAGTAGTACACATTAGCAAAGGTGAGAAGCAAGACACCAAAGATACTTATCTTAGGTGTTGCCTACCTGCAACACTGTCACATGGTGATGGTGAAATAGAGCAGCAGACAGCTCCACAGGCATCATTTTAATAGTGTTTGGTACTACAAGGATAGAGGCTCCGCTTGTCAGAGCAATGAACAGTTCAACCACAGATGGGTCAAATGTTAGAGGAGAAGCCAGGAATAGCATATCATCCTGTGTGATCTCAAATATGGATCTAAAATAAAAAAGCTAGGAATTACAAATCTGATGCATGTTCTTAAAAAACTCCCAAACTGGAAGAGCAGCATGAAAGAAATGTGCTTCAGCAAAGCTAAGGTCTCAAGGGCTACTCTGAAGATACAGGCATATGCAGGCCAGATAATTTGAGCAAGAGCTTCTGCAATCAAGACTGTAACTACTGATTGAACTAATGAGGTCCTTTACAAAGATATCCACCACATTATACCACGGTACACTACATTGAAGAGCATATTTCAACTAATGGACGCTCACTAAAAAAAACAAAGAAAGAAAGAAAAAGGTGGTATTTTCCATAATAGATTTCTTTCTGTTCCATATAGTACTTTCTAAAAAAATCTAGGTAGCCTAAAAAGGAATTAGAACTTCAAAACTACAGAACACACTAAATATAACTGTGAACAAATAATTAGCTTTGTTTTCTATTTCTTTTAAACTGTAAGCCAGAATACAATACTTACAGCAACAGTGTATTATTTGAAGTACATCCCTCAAAAATTCAGGTAAAGCACCATTCAAACATTAAAAACAACACTGAAGGAAACAAAGTTTCATACGATGCTACTTAAGAAACAATGGAAACAAACACAAAGAAACTTGAAAAGGCTGGGAAGGAGGAGGAAGTGAAGCAGTGTTAGCAAAACCCCAATCTACACTCCTCTGAAGTATTAAAAAGAGAGTCCCTAAACGTCAGTTTTGTAAAAATATTTAAAAGGAAAATTGGAAACCACACTTACTTAAGATGCTGAATATTTGGCACTATACATTTATGAGGCACTCTGACTATTTTGGGGATCCCTGTAGTTCCTGATGTATGCAAGATGTATGCTAAAGAGTATTTCTGGCCAATGTCCGTGTATCTTCCTTCTGATGTTTCTACTTTGGTTTGATCTGGGCAAACAGTATATCCTGGCTGTGAGTTACTCGTAGCTTTGAAAGGTTCATATTTACTTTTCACGTCATCTACTTGTGAATTTAAATCAGTGTTGCTTGAGCTCACTTGGAAGAGAGTTACCCCAAGATGTTTTATTGTGGAAGAACTGTGGTAAAACCAACCAACATGGGACATCTGGAATTTCTGTAAGAGAAAATAAACAATTTAAACAGCAGAACTCAAGACACACTGTTACTGTTCTACAGTATGCAACGAAATACGAAACTGCGTTTCATACAAATAAGCTGTGATTTTTCATGCCTCTAACTTTTGGAGGACACACATCAGACAGTTTTAAGCTCATATATTTTTATATATTAAATATGAGTCAACACAGACTTTATAAATGCAAAATAAACAATTTTCTGAGCAAATAATGAATGAAAGGGAAAATATACAAAAGAATTCTGCAGAAGACAACTCTGAATTATAACTAGATGTTTCAATCTTGTCTGTTCCCATTGCAATGAGTGAGGGTACAAGATTTGGGAGGAGTTGGACAAAAGGAAACCAAAGAATTAAACTGAGTTATTTTCAACAATTGCAAAGATTTCCAATTCTTAACCATGCCATATGGAGAAACAAGCTTGGAAGAGCCTTACAATGCCAGAGCCCAACAAGCTTGCCTGGGCAACGCTGTAATAGGAAAGTAGGCATTTTTTTTGAACAGGAGGAGAAGCACGTTGTACTTATAATTTTAAAGATATTCTTTTCTGCATGAGAAAGTCAACCTCTTGACATGAAGAAACAAAACAACCCCATCCAAGCTTACTAATGCAGCATACAATCTGAAGAGCTACACATTTCTAAATTGCCCTTTAATGCTTCCTGTAGAAGCCTGAACACTTACATTTATTTTGTCATTCTCAACAAGAACATATTGGAGATTGCTTTTCTTCATGAAATAAGTGGATAACATTGGTGGTGCATCTGGATCAATAGGAGAATAGGCAGCTGGAACCTGAAGGATTCTAACAAGACAAAAATGTTTTAAATATATACAAGAAATTAAAGAAAATCCTCTTAAATTTCACTGTTTCTTTTATACTGCCATTAGTTCCCAGAGCCAGAAAATGTAGTCATAATATGACTTTTAAAGATTTTGTTAGAAATAAAGAAGCAAATTACAATCAGTGTTGCCTTTTGGTATTTTACAGCAAGGAAAAAGATTAAAGCTAGATGAAAACATTCAAAATTCTTCCTGGCAAAGCAGGGTGATGATGACAAAAGTATCACTGACATCAACAGCACCATGCTTTAAAAGCTTTTGCTATTGACTAGGAACAGAAGTATAAGCTTTTCATTTATACATATACAATGTGTATAAATATATTTTAAAAACCACCAAAACTCTGCACACTGAAAACACTTTCCGTTATCACTACTGGAAAGAAATCAGCATAAGAAAGTCTAAAAGCATACTGGAATTTCGTCTCCAATAAACAGAGGAACACTAAGTATCATTCCCCACTTATTCACTGCACTTCACATTGTAGTGCTTCCTCAACAGTTGATCACGACAATCTCCCCCTCTAGCGGCTCCATTTGACAAAGACAAGCACTTGAATTTGTTAGCGCCACAAAAAGCAAAGATGAGTAAGTGGCAACTAAAACATGAACGGTTCCCATAAATCTTCACATTTCTTCTAAGGCTGGGTTCCTACGTACAATTAGTTATACTTCCTCTTTGTGCAAGTGATGTATCACTGCAGTAATGACAAGATCCAGAACATAGACTTGGAAACCGCAGCATTCTGCATATTTGAACAGCCGCTGGAATCAGTCAGCACCTAAGCCTGCCCTGCATCACATATAGCAGTTAATTACTCAGCAATGGTAGCTATAAGAATCAAAATGCCTCAGTAGTTTCCAGTCATGCAGAAAAAGAAAACTGTGCTCATTGGGATACAAGACAAATCCGGTTGGGAGGGACCTCAGGATGCCTAGTCCAACTCCTGCTCAAGCAGGGCCACCTGTGACACCAGACCTCGTTGTTCAGGGCTTTATCCAGTCAGGTCTTGAAAACTTCCAGGGACAGCGCCTGCACGCCATCTCTGGGCAACCCACTCCACTGCTGGGCTGCAGGGAAAGTGTGTCCTGATCCGTGAGAAAGTTCCTCAGCGCTTCTGGGAGATTTATGATTACAGCGCTCACTCGCTCACCTCACTGAAATCTTTATAGTCAGCTGTCATACATCTTCTTGCACTATTGTGTATTTTGGGTACAGTGTGACAATAGGAAAATACTGATGCAGATCATCCCCCTAGGAAGCAAAACCGCTGCTGTATACATCAGCTGAATAAGCCTGCAATCCTGGGATTTATTACATCATAAATGCAATGGATATAAAAGATACCTATACAAGGGATACAAACATCAGAATTCATCATCAGAAGTAGAATTTTTTAAATTGCTGAATTCACATGACTATTGAGATCACAAACATTACAATTTCCTAGCCATTAAATAATCAATGTCACTTTAGTGCTGCATTGCTCATTACTTTTTTCTACAATGTTTCCAATGGAACTGTAACTGCATACTCAATTAGCTTAAAGCATGAAACTTGCTTTTAATGCATGTCTTTTTTGCTAGCAAGACAAGAATGCATTAAAAAACCTGCATACTCCTTTTTTCGCATATATAATTTACTCTGTGAGATCACCTCCATTTTTAAACAAGCACAACAAAGATACTAGTAATAATTTTTTCATATTTCTATAAATATGCTTAATCAAGCACTTTAAAAAATTGATATAATTACATACATTTTAGGTCGATGAACTTAAGAGTCAAAAAAACTTGAGCAGTGGCTTTTTAAAACATTATAATACTGCCATCTTTCTTCTTAAAGAATGCAAGGCTCCAGTGTCTCTTGACTGAATTACTGTATTACTGCATTTTTGTTGTTATCAAAAATATAAAGAAACTGAAAATTTGCTTTAATAGAGACGACCCTTAAAAAACAGATTGCAAGCATTACCCTATGATCCAAGATGGTAAGTTAATTCCTGGATAGCAGTAAAGGCCTATTTCACATTTTCCTTGCTGATTACAGTGCTTTTGAAGGAAAGCTGTTAATTCCATGGCAAGCTTAACCACCGTCGCATATGTGTAGAAAGTTGGAGGTTTGTCATTGCATTCATCAAACCAAACTGCTTTTCTATCAGAGTACAGACGAGCTGCCTGATTCACCAGCTCCTGAAGAGTCATCTCAGCTGCATGCCTTCTGTCCCCCTGAAAGATTAACAAACCAGACTGCATTGTCACCTGCCAACTGTTAATATTTTTGTCAAATCATCTAAGTACACAAAACACTACCAAGTACAAAAGCAGATACTCGGCAGAAAACATGCAGCTTCACCACACCTGGTATTGCAGAAGTGTAAAGCTTAATACTTTTATCGTTTACCATAGGTCTCATCGTATGGCCCAGGATACAGTAATTCACTAAGATTTAATTGCACAGAGATAGTTTGGTCCTCACCATTACACCTTTATTTTTAAAGCTGGGCACAACTGAATTAATATCTTTATTAACACAATTAATAGTAGAATTGTGAAATACGAATCTTTCCTTTGCAAGCAGAAAATGCAACACGTCGATTGCCAAGGCTTTTAGGGTACTGCTCGTGCTGGCGCACGTCTCTGCCCTACGGGCCATCCCGTCACGCCCGTACCGGATGACCGAGCCGCGAACCGAA